CAGACAGTTAAAATTATTTAAAATATTTACAATTTTGCCTTGGCTGCCAGGAATTTTAGAGCTATCTTATAGTGTCTATGCAGCTAAGGATTTCATATAATTATCTTCATTTTCTCTCTCTCTCATCAGTCTTTAATTTTTAATTTAGTAATTCTATCAGGTGTTTTTTAGTATAATTGTTCTTAATATTTTCTCAGAAGTTTGTGGTAAATTCAATTAATCTAACAAGCAATTATTTCACTGTTAATTCTGTAATGCAATAGTGAAAAAGACAGGCTGTGGCCCCAGGAAGCTGGAAAAAGATAACTTTTTCAGAAATTCCTAGGAGATACTTTGTTCAAATAGGAACTTAGCAGATGTATTTTGTTAAGCATATAAAGTCTTTTATTGCTAGTTAAAAGTCGGCATTAGGATAGATTGTCATTTCCAAAGCCTGTATGTTTCTATTTTGTGTGAGTCAGATTTAAAATTCAGGACTGGAAGCTGAGTGTCATATAATCTTTAAGATAGCAATGCATGTAGAGTTCCGGCCTTTGCTATTCTTAAATGTCTACAGAGAGTTGCAAACCTTTCAACTTCACTCTGGGAAAGAGAGGATGTGTGTGATACGACCAAAGTTTGCCCAGAGAATCTTTGAAGAGGATGATAGTTTGTCTGATAGATATTATAAAATGACTTGAAAAGAGAAGATATGCCTGCTTTGAGTCTAAAAAGGCAAGAAAGCCTTTTTCAGTTGTTCATATTGTTCTTTTATGCATAAGAGGGTTCCCTTATGCCTTCGTGCAACTTTCAAATGAATATGGTCCCTTGAAAATGCAAACTACTGCATAAAGGTTTAGAAGATTATAAACACAGTGATAGGTAGCCCATTACTTAAATGGTTGGCTGACATCATTATTCATGAAAACATTGGAATGTACTTTGTAAATGTAAGCTAAATGTTTCTTTCCCTTAGACCATGACCTGACTTTTAAAATTAAGATTGTGAATGGTTGTGACCTAGATATGTCATCTCTTGCCCCATGAAAGAGAATGTAGTTATTGCCTGATTTTTCTAGAACTGATCACCCTTTAAGTCGATGTCCTTGTCTTTCATCCCTTCCTTCTCATTATAACTGTTGGCTTTCGCTTATTTTACTGGTGATTAGTACGTTTACGGTGATGGGCAGAATAATGGTCCCCCTAAGGACATATGTACACATCCTAGTTCCCAGAGCCTGTGAATATGTTACAATACATGGCAAAAGGAAATTAAGGTACAGACTGGATTACATGTGCTAATCAGTTTACCTTAATTAGGGAGATTATTCTGGATTATCTGAGTAGACCCAATATAGTCTAAAGGGAGGCAAAGCAAAAGCCATAGTGAAGTACCATGAGAGGGACTTGACAAATCCTTGTTGGCTTTGAAGACTGAGGAAGAGGGCCACCAGCCAAGGAATTAGGAGACCTCTAGCAGCTGGAAAAGACAAGGAAATGATTTTTCCCTGGAGCCTCCAGGAAGGAACAGAGCTCTGCTGACACCTGTGATTTTTGACCCCCAAGTGAGACACTTCTCAGATTGCTGACCTACAGAACTGTGAGATAATAAATGTGTTTTGTTTTAAGTCGCTAACCTTGTGGTCATATGTCATGGCAGCAACACAAACTGATATATTTATTTACCAATGATAGAGAAAGGCAGATGAAAATCAAGGCAATCTGTACAGGACAAAATTTAATGTGGGCTGAAGTCACAGCTCCTGCTGAGAGGGAGATACTATGCTGTCAGTGAATTTCAGCCCCTCCTCTGACTGTTTTCCAATAATCCAGGTAATCTACAATTGCCTGCTGCCAGTATAATGACTTCAGAACAATACACCTTTAGTTCATTCGGCCTCCAGTCCACCCACTTGGCTATCCCCCCAGAGTAGTCTCTTAATAGAACAGATTTAATCCTATTATTTCACTTTAAACTCTGCCTTGTGATTTCCCATTGCCTGCAATACAAAATCTAAACATGTAGCATTACATTCAAGGCCCCTGCATAACAGAATCTTTGCTACAGCCTTATATCATACTTCTCATTTGTAAGCATTCTTTTTTTTTGAGATGGAGTCTCACACCATCACCCAGGCTGGAGTGCAGTGGCTCGATCTCGGCTCACTGCAACCTCCACCTTGTGGGTTCAAACGATTCTCCTGCCTCAGCCTCCTGAGTAGCTGGGGTTACAGGCACCCGCCCCCACACCCAGCTAATTTTTTTATTTTTATAGAGACAGAGTTTCACCATGTTGGCTGGACAGGGCTTGAACTCCTGACCTCAGGTGATCCACCTGCCACTGCTTCCCAAAGTGCTAGGCTTACAGGCATGAGCCACCGTGCCCGGCCACTTATGTCTGTGAACCCAGCATACCATTTTGCACTTTGGTCCTTCAGATATGTCATTTCCATGACCTCCAATGCCCTTCCAGATTGTCAGACCTGCTGGCAAACCTCTATGACAAGGTACAACTCACACATTAATGCCCTGGAAAACCAAGGAATATTCTACAGCAGATAAATTGTTTGCTGTGTCCTTTATGACTCACTGTTTCTTGAACATGTTGTGAAATTAAAATATTGTCTTTGCATTTCATTCTTTCAAACTGAACTATGAGCTTCTTGAGGACAGCAACAGGATTTAATAACGTATCTGTGGAATTTTAGCAATTCACATGGCTTATACACTAGGAACTTAATAAATAAATATTCATTGTACAAGTGATTATGTTGCCCAATCTGGCCAGAAGACACAGACGTGCCATTAGAATGCAGGTTTCTGAATCCCACGTCAGGTGCTGCTTGCATTCTGACTGTATAACTTAAGTACCTAAAATACCTTTTTATACCTATGTAACATTTTTCATTTTAAACAAAATTTAGACAACTGATTTTGTCACTCTCCTTTCTATCCCTTCATTTAACACTTGTGATTTCATGGTTTTATTTTATTGAAAATGAAAGCATCAAAATAGCTTCTGTTTTAATTTTCCCCTGCCTCTCTTTGGAAGAATTATTTTGTGGAATGTAATTATTTTTATGCTTAAATCATTGTGAAGACTGTATAACTTAGTGGCATGACATGTCAAATTCTTTTGGCTTTAAATATTTGAATTTTCTCTCAATATCTCTATTTTCTGCCTTTTGGATTTGGTATTCATGTTAGTTTCTTAGTGAATACATATGAGATTTGACATTGCCATACAGGTCTTTATGAAAATGTATATGGTAGAACCTGGAATCCATAAAATACTATATAAATGGAACAAATTGTTTTCATAATTTTTATCATCACTTTACACTCTGACTGCAAAACATTCACAATTTTCATGACGCTGGGAATAATTCCACTGGGAATTTCTCTTTCAGCAACAGCTGTCAGAATTCAGTCTTAAAATGGTTGGCATACTTTTTAAGTGTGATCAGTAAAACATCCCTCATGCTGCATAATTTATAAGTTAAGTTTACTAATTTAAAAAAGGAAAACACATTTTTTCAAGATGAATGAGTCCATGTTGGTATTAAAATTTTACGTAAGAACTATCATCATTATTTTAAAAAATAGTAGACAGAAGCCATTGATGAATCTATGAGACTTATACGTATTAAAAACAGATTTTATTTTTGAAATATTATGAAGGTGTTGATAAATATTCAGAAACTGTAGATTTTTAATCATGGAAATATCCAGCTTGGTTTAACATATTGCTTGGATATCCACTGTCTGATTTGAGTAAAGCTAACTCATTTTATAACGGCATCAAAAGCTAGGCAAAGCCATGGTTCAGAATGTGTCTTTAGGATTTGAATTCTATCACATTTCATCAGTGACTCACCAGGAGTATTTTGCTTTCTTGGTTTTCAGGTCAATCTTAAAGTAATCAGCTGGTTGAGCTATTAATATTTCCACCAGAAAAGAAATGTCTTGTGAGAAACCTGTCATCCTTAAATGTGCCAGACATATCTTTCATTGTGCGTCAACAGACTGGCATTATGGTCTTTTAAAAACCAGTCTTCCGCCGGGCGCGGTGGCTCAAGCCTGTAATCCCAGCACTTTGGGAGGCTGAGGCAGGTGTATCACGAGGTCGAGAGATCGAGACCATCCTGGTCAACGTGGTGAAACCCCGTCTCTACTAAAAATACAAAAAAAAAAAAAAATTAGCTGCACATGGTGGCGCGTGCCTGTAGTCCCAGCTACTCAGGAAGCTGAGGCAGGAGAATTGCTTGAACCCAGGAGGCGGAGGTTGCGGTGAGCCGAGATCGCGCCATTGCACTCCAGCCTGGGTAACAAGAGCGACACTCTGTCTCAAACAAAACAAAACAAAACAATACAAAACAAACAAACAAACAAAAAACCGGTCTTCAGTGAGTTCACTTAGCATGAAATGAGTCTACAGAACCTAATCATGCTAGAGACTTTGCTCACCAAAGAGTACCTATTTTTAGGAACCGTAAGCGATTCTCATGGACCGCGTGTCAATTTATCATCTTTTTCCACAATGCCAGATACATTGTGACACTGTCTTACTCATTGTGTCTTTTTTGAGGCGTGATCCTTCACTTGCACCAAATTCTTACCGTTATATTACATTCTCTTCTGGCAGTCTTTTAAGGACATTAATTCACGGTATATGATAACTTCTGATTCATTCCATGAACTTCGAGCTTACGATAGTTTTAGTAAAACTACCAGCTGCCACTGTCCCTAGTTGTGGGATATGTATCACTTTGGAAGCCTTCAGCCTTATCTACTTGCTCAGGTGCCTTTCCTTGATTATCCAAACTCCAAAATAAATTTATTTGAACACAGTCTGTATATTGTGATCTTTTCAACAGGCAGCATGAATTCCCATGTTAATTTGATATTATTACTATAGCTATCCATTGTTTTTTAAGTTGGCTACAGGTTTTTTCCTATTAGAATTATCCTGTTTCTTTGGATGACTATCAGTAGCAATTGTTTTATTCATTGCCTTGCAGGTACTACAGTGCAACCATTCTGCAGATGTCTGGTGTTGAAGATGATAGACTTGCAATATGGCTGGCTTCCGTTACAGCCTTCACAAATTTCATTTTCACACTCGTAGGAGTCTGGCTTGTTGAGAAAGTGGGCCGCAGAAAGCTTACCTTTGGTAGTTTAGCAGGTAGGTGACTGGATGAAGAATTCAATTATAAACTTTTTTTCCCTAATAACTGCGAGTTTAACCTTCGAAAATGCAATACTTATACCACTTCTAATATTGGTTTCTCAGCCAAACAACAAAAAATTAAGAGTTCTTCTAGACAAAAAAAAAAAAGAAAAAAATCTTTACCAACTATTACAATACATGCCTGGAAACTAGAATGTGAGTAGAAACAAACTGCAAGAATAATTTGGATCTACTGAGGGTAACATTTTTCTGTTATTTTGAGTTCTACTCAAAGATGCAAAAGTGAAAAAAAATAATTGTTTTCTGTTCTATCCTTGTTTGAAAAAAAAAAGCTTTGGATTCGGAAACTGACTTTTTAACATATTTTATATTTTTAAATTTGGAGTAAAATGGAATTAAATTTGGAGCATTTTTTTTTTCAAAGTTCTTTCAGCAGTGGAATGTTAGAACCATGTAATTTCTTCAAAAAGCAGGACAGACTCTTTTTGTGCTTGAAACAGGCCTAAGTTCTAGGACTGGTTGGTTAAATGTATTTTCTATGATAGTGAAATAAAGCAAAACCTTTTTTAAAAAACTCTCAAATATCTTTTATGTTTAAATTCTGCCCATTTTATTTATTATTTCACTGTAACACAAGGACTGTTTCACTTGACAGAATGGGACTGATCTTTAACATTGTCTTTTTTTTTTCTTTTGTTTTTGAGACAGATTCTTGCTCTGTCACCAGGGCTGGAGTGCAGTGGCACCATCTTGGCTCACTGAAACCTCCACCTCCTGGGTTCAAATGATTCTCCTGCCTTAGCCTCCCAAGTAGCTGGGATTACAGGTACCCATCACTACACCCAGCTATTTTTTTTTTCTTTTTGTATTTTTAGTAGAGACAGGGTTTCACCATGTTGGCCAGGCTAGTCTCGAACTTCTGACCTGTGATTTGCCTGCCTCAGCCTCCCAAAGTGCTGGGATTGCAGGCATGAGCCACCATGCCTGGTCTAACATTGTCTTTACATGGTTGCATGGTATAATTTTCTAATTTTGTTCAAATATACAAGTCATTCCTGTGTATCAATTAACTTACTCTAATAACTCCTTTATAAATTTATTTGGAGTGAAAATGCATTTTTCCATGAAAACGTGGTTTTCATTAAAACACAGTAAGTGAAGGGCTCAGAGCAATTTAGCTGTCACAGCATTACGGTTACCAAAGAGAAAGCCTTTGTTGTTTAAACCTTGTTGCAAAAGCAGCCTCCATCATCATAACCTAGGAACCTTCCTGAATTCTTCTGGCCAATGTCATGTTCCCCTCTCAGTGTAGGTCTTCTGCCAAGGATTTCCAGAGCCCATCCCTGAGAGTTAAGAGGAAGTACTAAGACAATTCCTTGGGAAACACCAAGACATTTCAGAGTCTGCTTCTCATGAGCAACCCATAGACACTTTTCTTTCCTGACTCATTCTCTTTGCAGCTGAAACCCTTCAAAGAGAATCACAGGCCTCAGTTGTGTCCACTACAAACACTTTACAGTGTTTCCTCCAGCATGAGAGACAGTCTATTTGATTTCCTTATTATGTGGCCAATTAAAGTGATAAGTCGATATTACAATGGTTTGAGAGGCAGAAGTCCTGGTTTCTTCTCACAGGTCTCACAGGTCTCCTCTTTTACCTGTACACATAGTAAATGGTGCCATTCATGTGGTTCTTGTGTTTCAGTTATTAACTAGGTCCTACAAGAAGATAATGACCAGTGGACCTTTACACCTTCAGAGGAAGACATACCACTCAACAACCTTGTTAACATATTAATATTACTCCACTGTGACCCTCACTCACAACAGATTTTTCTTTCACATTCCTATACTAATTAATTCTATGTTAGTTATATTTTTTATTTCAGTGTGTTTTTGTTTTATTCATTTATATGTAGGTATACACTTGATATTTTAATAGTATTAAGGATTAACATACTGATCTATGTTAAATTTCTTAAATTGGCAATAGCCTAGAATTTTTAACTTTTGATTCAGTATTGTTTCCTATTTTGTGTTTTTGTGTTTTTATTCTGATTTATTTTATTATATTGGAGTAAAAATAGTGAAAAATGTTATATCAAGATAATTTCCTGTTAGATATTCATTCTTTTAAAATGACTACAAATAAAAAATATGTAAGCCTGGACAAAGGAACTCTTTGTGCAAAGAAATACAAAACATGTTATCTATGAATAATTTTACATGCCGGACATTTTTGGTGTCCTGACTTTTTATATTTTCAAAGCTTGTTCAGAGAACTGGACTTTTCTGGTAAATATGACAAATTTAATGACAAATTCTTGATTCTTTTATTATTGGGAGATTTATATCTATTTAGCTTTATTGGTAGTGACTCAGGAAGCCAGAAAGATTGTCTTTCTCCCACTCAAGTATTTTGGTAGTAGAATATCTCTGAAAGTTTCATTCATAAGCTGTCTTCATCACTATTGCCAAGGGTTCTTATTTTAAAATAGGATTATTAGAACTTAACCCAGATCTTCTAACTTAGAATTTCTGAAAATGAGGTTTGAAATATGTGCACTTCAGACAGGTTCCCTAGGTGATACTTACACACACAAAGTGTGAGAACTACTGCTCTAGTGAAATCATGGAAAGGGAAATTATTTTGTTTTTCTAAGTATTTACTAAGAAGCCAGACACTATCCAGTACTTATGTATTTCATCAGATATTTTTATCTAATAAATAATGTTATTTATTCAGCACTCTTCACTTCCTGTGAAGAATATTTTATCTGCAAAATTACATCAAAATTCCAGAATCTAACACTGTATTTGGTTAAGAGAAACTCTTCTCTTGAAACATAAAAACATGCCAAAAGTGCACAGTATACTGGATAAAATTCTTTCATCCAAGGCCTTCTTGTATTAGACTCAAATTCAGATTGTAATAATGGATAATTTGACAATAACCAGATTGATTTTAAATACTAACAAGTGACTGATAAAACATCTGTAACTTATTAAATATAAGGAAAAAGGTAATTGAAATAGTTTTATGCTTTCAGAGTATATATGAGTAGATAATAGGACTAGTTGATTATTTTAAAATTTATTTTATAAACAAAGTCATTTAAGATACCATTTCCTTCTTGTAAGGAGCTTATCATGTCTTAGGGATTTTAGCCCTGTCTGGGCATCATAACTACCTGTAGAACTCTTTAAAACTCAGATATTTTCTACTGATCTCCTGGAGATTCTGATCCAGAGGTTGGGGCACATCCAGGCATTTGCTTCGAACAGGAAGCCAGGATTGAGAAACATCACTATATGTAATAACAAAAGTAAGAGTATAATGTTGGCTTTTAAAATACTGTCCTCCAAATTGGGCTGAAATAAAAATGAATTTGGCTTAAGAAGAGTTAACTTTTACTTGTTTAGGAATTTTGCGTATCCAGAATAGTTCATTTCTCATAATTTTTAGGTTGGTTGGACTTCTTAAGAGATAAATGTAAGAATCATATTATCCATATTGCAGAACTCTCATTTAAGATATTTGTACCCATACTAACCTCATGACTTTAATTGGATGGTCTTAAGAATTTTTTTTTCCAAAAATGTCCAACATTATAAAAAGGTATAGAACTGTGGTTTATCCATTCAACTAATATTTATTCAGATCTTTATATGCCAGGCACTAGAACTGGACCTTACTGGGTATGTGCTAGGTATACCATCTTAGAGTTTACCATGTTTATGGAGATAGGTTATTTAATGAGTGTTATGAAAGAAGACACTTTTCTTTCCTTCACATCTTAATATATTAAAGTTTCTTGATTAAAAAAAAATCTTGGCCAGGCATGGTGGCCCATTCCTGTAATCTTAGCACTTTGGAAGGCCAAGGCGGGCGGATCATGAGGTCAAGAGATTGAGACCCTCCTGGCCAACATGGTAAAATCCCATCTCTACTAAAAATACAAAAATTAGCCGAGTGGGTGGCGTACATATGTATTTCTAGCTCCTTGGGAGGCTGAGGCGGGAGAATGGCTAGAACCCGGGAGGAGGAGGTGGTATTGAGCTGAGATCGTGTCACTGCACTCCAGCCTGGTGACACAAGATACCATCTCAAAAAAAAAAAAAAAAAACCCACAAAAAAAAAAAACTTACTGTTACATGGCAATAAGATATGGAAGTAATTTGGGAAAATGGGGATTCAGATTTTTTGATGGGCAGATTAACAGTAAATCTCCTGGCTCGTTTTGTTTTGTTTGAGAAGAGAGGTATGATTTTCATAACAGATCTACTATATCTCTTTTCTGTTTTCCAGTTTGAGGCTTGATAGTCATTTTAGAAAAGTAATGGCTCAAACTACTGGTAGTTCTGGTTTGAATTTTAAGCCAACAACAGTTAAACAAACCGTGATTTTAGGTTCACTGCATTATTATCTTAGCCTTCTGACCTTTCTTTCAATCCTCCCCATCCTTCAACTTTCTGTTCTGTTATTTTGAAGGGTTTCTGCGGCGGCTGCTGCTACTTGTAATAATAATCATAGCATAATAACTAACAATTTATAGCATTAAAACATCTTTCAAATACATTATGACATTTAAAATTCACTGTAAGCCTGTAAGGGGAATATTTTCACTAAGCCCTATTTTACAAAAGACTACATGGAATTATGGAAGGGTTGTGCCCCTTGCCCAAAACCATAGAGTCAGGAAACAGCAACACTAGCTAAAAACTACAGCTTTCTGATCCCAAGGTCACCTCTGCACCCATAATACCTGGCTTCATATACCTACTCTGTCAACTAGTATATAATCCTATTGTACTTCCACAGTGCTTCTCAGTGTTCTTTTTAAAATCTATTTTGAAAACATTTTTGTTCATAATTTAAATTCCCTCCCAGCTTAACTAACGAAACCTTTACTACTACTAAATTGTCCTCCTAAATTCCCTATTTTAAACATTTCTTGTCTCATTCAAATAAGTCGTACAAACTAATGCAGCCATATTTTCTTTTTTAAACTTTTATTTTAATTTCAGGGGTACATGTGCAGTTTCATTATATAAGTAAACACATGTCTTAGAGGTCTGGTGTACACATTATTTTGTCACCCAGATAGTAAGCACAATACCCAATAGGGAGTTTTTTGATCCTGTCCTTTCTCCTGCCCTCTACCCTCAAGTAATCCCTGCTGTCTGTTGTTCCCTTCATTGCATCCATGTGTTTTTGTCATGCAGATCCCACTTTTAAATGAGGACATGCAGTATTTGGTTTTCTATTTCTGTGTTAGTTTGCTAAGGATAATGGCCTCCAGCTCCATCTATGATGCTGCAAAGGACATGATCTCATTCTGTTTATGGCTGCATAGTATTTCATCATATTTTCTTTCTCCATTCTTCCATGACCCTTTTTGTTTACCCTCACAATGTCTGTGGCTCAAACAATAGTCAGAAATTTGAAAAATGTCTTATTTACCATTAGATGTCTATCAGGGACACAAAAACTATTCTTTTAAGTTATATCACCATTCCTATATGTTGACATCAAAGACAAGTATTTCTCTTTAAATACCAACAAAAAAGAAAAAAGAATACATGTGATATATTATTTGTTGTACCTTAAAGTCTTCAAGAAATGCTACTCTATTTTAATAAAACATCCTCTTTCAACTGCTTTAGAAATAATTTGTTTGTTAAACTAAAAAGGTTTACCAGTTTAAGTCTTACATGATTGAGTATCGTTAGAACAATTTTCTTGGCACTGAAAGGAACACTTGATGGAAATCAGTTGTCTTTCATACTTCCTGATATGTTAGGCACTCAATAATGTTGTCACATTAATTGATTTTGAGATTTTCAGTAATCCTAGGTTTGTGTGTTTTTTTTAAAAAAAAATCATTACCAATTTACTGTTTGGCTAGCAAATGTATTTGCTTTGAATTTCACTCTCATCATGTCTCACAATGAATGTGCTAGTGAATCGTTCTGATCATTTGTTTATATTTTAGGAATATATATATTTTTAATCCTGTGAAGACAGATCAAGGTTTTTTTTTTTCAGATGTTTTCTTTTGTTTATTTGTTTTTTGGTTTTGTGTCTACCAAACCCAGACTGCTTTAAAATACTATTGTTAACTCATCTCTAATACAAAACTTTTTTTTTTTTAAGGTACCACCGTAGCACTCATTATTCTTGCCTTGGGATTTGTGCTATCAGCCCAAGTTTCCCCACGCATCACTTTTAAGCCAATAGCTCCATCAGGTCAGAACGCGACTTGCACAAGATACAGGTGAGATTTCACTATGTTCTTCTTCCTTTACATAATTCTGGTAACTTTTTTTGCTTGCTTTTGACTTTTTTAAAGTTGTAGACATGATGAGTAGGAGCTTGCTAGGCATCCAGGCTTATGAGGAAAGGGAAGAAAAAGGGAAGAAAATGGGAAAGGTGGTAGAGAGAGGCCGCCAAGAAGAGGAACAGCTTGTGCAGATGTGTGAGTGTAAGGAATTAAGGAAACAGTGAGTTGTTAGATACAACCTTGGGGCTATTTCTCTGGAAATTAAAATTAGGGATTGATACTGAATCAAAGCAGGAATACAGAAAAGGTATTTTACAGCATATATGATTCAGTGACCTCTATATTCCAAGCAAAATAATGTTAGTAATTAAACTTTTATAAGCTACACATGCCCTCTGAATATTCAGACAATTTTTAGTGATTTCCATGGATATCCTCTTGTCCACTTAAACCTGAAGTTTTCCCTCAGTCCTGAGGCTCCTCTAGAGAATCAGGAAGTAAAAAGTGGTGGTGGAAAATCACAAAATGTTCTAATGGCTAGCTGCAGGCCTAAGAGCTCATCAAGTCAAACAGCGTGCACACTATGTGATATAAAGATAAAAAATAGGTAAATGGATAGATGGACTGAGAACAAATAAATGAAAGTTTGAATGATTGGACACATCAATTAATATATTTGGCAGCAGAGTTTCAAAGTTTTTATCTTGATTTTAGCCATCATAAAGTCTAAAAACCCCTTTAAAACATAGGCATAAAATAAGACCTAGCATTAGCAAAAATTTACATTCCTATAGCTTGAACTAGATGGACGCAAGTCTCAAATCAATGAGTAAATGATTTACTAACTCATACAATCCTATATGAAATTAAAACATGGTTCACTAAACTCCTCTTCGTATTCACTTAGAGCATCCAATTGAGCATGAATTCATGGTGGCTGTTCATTACAACAATGTGGAAGATATATTGGTCTCAAATTGTGATCTACGTGCCTTTGGACAATAAGCATCATAGCACATCTTTTCTTTTACTGATAAGTTTATTATTGGCTTACTGACTTTCATGTCTTTTTACTGTTCTAGGAAAACTTAAGGGCGTCTTCATAGTAGAAGTTAACCTTAGCATAGACTATTTATGGATGTAGTGATCTTTATTTGGACATCCACCTCAGTTGCTAGTTCTTCCTTGATGGATATTTTACTTGCATGTTTTTAACAGTTACTTTCCCAAAAAATTTTTTAAATTACTGTCATTTGAGAAACAGAACATTTTCCAGATCTAATGCCTGATTTAGATGTATTGTTCTGAATAAGACTGACATAATGTTGGGTCAATTAAAGTCAAAAATCATCTAAATAATTATTACAAAAAGTTATCTGAACTTTTGATATAGGAAAGCAATGACTATAAGTTTTTGATGATTTACATAATAAGATAGTTTTTCCGACATTGCCTTTAAGTGTAAATAAAAGTCTTTATTGCCCAACATAGCTATCTCACTGCACAGCAGCTTATGATCATCTTCTGTTAATCCTTGTGATCTTTCTAATGTATTATCATCTAATATCTTAATATACAATTTTAGTGAAGTAAGAAAAGTGATACAGCCTTCTTTTATTCTTATTACAAAAATAAGCAGCCATTTTTGAAGATAGAACCAAATTTTAGGTGTCCTTTGGGAGTCAGTGGATATGAAAAACAATTATTTATTGTATGCCTTCCTTCAGAGTAACGTATTAGGCTTTGCGGGAATTTGACAGTCTGTATTTTAGTCTAAGTGATGTTGTCAAATAAGGCTGCAGTCCCTTACTTGTTGTTTATGGTTCAAACCATTTATAATCCTCTGCTTTACCAGCTGAGCAGTAATTGACTATACTAGTTATTTCAAAATAACTAAAAGAGGAGAATTGGAATGTTGCTAACACAAAGAAGTGACAATTGCTTGAGGTGATGAATATCCCTATTACCCTGATTTGATCATTACACATTGTATACTTGTATTAAAATATGACATATATCCCATAAATATGTACCACTATTATACATACATAACAGTTAAGAATAAAAACCATCTATATACATTTCCCCTTTTCCTTAAGACAAACGAGGAAAAAAATCGCCTAGTACCTTAAGATGAGTAAAGTTCACTTTGTAAATGCAGGTAGTATGCTTTCCCCATGGAGCGATCCATATAGGAAAATTTAGCAAATAAAACAGATTTTAAAGGAGAAGTAGTTTACTCTTAGTAACATCGTATTCTGTTGGTGAGAGTATAAATTGTTCTACATTTCAGAAAGTAATATTGTTCTGCCTAATAAAAGTAAAGTGCCTATGCCCATTGACTCAGTACTTCCACTTGTAGACATCTGTAGACTCCAGTGATGTGTATGTAGTCCATTCGTACTAGAGTAGAAGATTTAAGAAAGTAAATGGTTAAAGAACAATGATTCTTCTTGATTTTAATTCAATAAATATTGGTTGCATACCAGGCCAAAATATTGTAGGTTAGATCTCACTAATGACTTGAGGTTCAAGAGATTGACAAAAATTTTTGATCAGGACATCCCCTTTCTAGGATGTTTTAAGTTTTTGACTGATAATATATTTTCCAAGGCCTGATTAGATTCCTTGGACTGAATGTCTTAAAGAACATCTTTCAGAACAATGAGAACATAGGGACACGGACGGAAAGTAACTACACACACTGGGGCCTGTCAGGGGGCAAGGATGGAGGAAGGGAGAGCTTTTGGATAAATAGCTAATGCATGCAGAGCTTAATACGAGGGTGGTAGGTTGATAGGTGCAGCAAACCACCATGGCACAGGTTTACCTATGTAACACACCTGCATGTCCTGCACATGTATCCTGGAACTTAAAATAAAATTTTTAAAAAATGCCTTTCAGATCTACGTTCAGTAGATAAAAGTGTGTACAAAGATAAAGACAGATGCAAATTGCTATAGAAAATGATTGGCCACCTGTATACAAGCTGCCACACGGTCCCAGCTGCAGCTAGAAGAAATAACTCTAGCATGAATATCATCTGAATCATTATGTCTTTATGAGAGTTCACACACGTATTTCTTTTTTTTTCACACACATAATTCCAATATGACCTTCAGCTCCACACTCTCAAATTACTAATGTTCTATTCCTTTCATTTCCAATTCAAAATATTTCCTCATGAGAGCTAGTCAAGTTTTGAGGAATTAAACCTTTCCTAGTTACCCTTCCCTCAAATACTTGACATATTATTATTTGTAGTGTGATCTCAGTATATGTAAATCACTATCATAAAACACTTAAAAGTAGACAGATAGTTCCTAAAGCGTACAGCTGTAGAATTTTAAGGTACCCTTGCCCCAGGTATTTTATCATATTCACTTATTCATTCTTCATGCATCTAAATATATTACAGATCACCTACCATAGGATTATAAGGATAAATTAACATATGGAAAATGTCTTAAACACTGCTTGGCACATAATAAGCACTCAGTCAACATTATAGTTGTTAGAATTAATAGAACCTGTAACAGGAGATGAGATTGGGATGACAGGACTCCAAGAAGATTACCTTGAGAGTAGGTTGTTTGTCCTGAGCTCTGAAAAGGAGAGCGGAGTATGTCACACAGAAAGATTGGCGGGTACAAAGATCCTGCAAGGCAGTAAGGAACCTGGCAAGTGGGAGGAACTGAAAGAAGAAAACTATGGAGGTCAGAGAAGAATCAGATAGGACTGTGAAGACAGGTCAGAGTCAGATCATCTAGAAACTCAGAGGTTTTTCAGCTTCAGTCCAAGAACATAAATCCATTGAAGAATTTAAGCAGGGGTGTGCTTGGACCACATTTTCACTTGTAAACTGTCTCTGGGTGGGTGTGCAGAGAGGGCATGTGTTCATGCAGGGAGACTCGTTTTTTATAGTTGTCTATGAAAGAGATGACTGTTGCCTGGATTATAGTGGCAAGACTGGAGATTTGCAGGTGGACAGATTTTCAGTATATTAGAGGAGAAAAATTAATAAGAAATTTAAAATAAATAATTGATTAACTATGGGCATAGGAGGAAGCTAGTCTTTGGTTGATTCCAGATTTCTCATGAGAAAAAATATAGACTAGATCATAGAAATAAGATGCAGCAATTGGAATCTTATTTTGGACATGTGGAATCTTAGGTGTTCATGAACCATCATCAGTGGGATATTGAGTAGGTATTTGGGAAAACTGGCCTGTAGTTGAAGGAGAGTTCTAGAATGAAGAATTATTATCCATACCTGATAATTAAAGCCATAGACATGGGCCACATCTTGTTCACAATTAAGATGTTTATCAAGACTCTAGCTACCTTTGCAATTCATAATCTATTCGTAAGCCACTAGTAGTTTACTAATCCATTGAGTAGTATCTATCCATTCTTCAAGCTTTTAATCCCAGCATAGAATCACAAACTATTCATGCTGGAAGGCCTTTCATGTGACCTAATTCAAGTCTTTCATCTTAAACCTACACTTAGATCTTACTCAGTTTTTTACTGAGGTCAAAATAAGTCACATTCCTTTCCTAGGGCACACAGACGAACTACTTATCCTTTAGGCTTCCTTTTCCTGCATACAGACCTTTCTTTTTTAGCTCACACAGTTCTTTAGGAGTTGTTGTTAATATGAAACCAGTGATACAACAGCTTCTTTTTCTATTCCTTTCCAACCTTGCTCTTTTTGCTTTGCATCAAGGACATGGTTTTACTGTTAAGGTGACTAGTAAAATTAGGTAATTTGACTAATTTATTGATGCATAGCATATTACCTCTTTGATATAGATCTTGCTACCTTTTAGACCCTGTTTGAGTAGAAATTGAAAAAAGGGACTATGTTTCTAGTTCATTATAATTTTTTTAATACTTCTCAATTAAGACCAAACTCAGTGGCTCATGCGTGTAACCCTAGCACTTTGGGAGACCAAGACAGGAGGATTACCTGCAGTCAGGAGTTCGAGATC